TGTACTACAAACAAAACACGCTTGAGATGAATTACTTATCTTGACCGGCGTACATGTCACAGTGGAGGCAGCCATTTTGTTTGTTGCGAAGTAACCATGTGACCATCATGTGACTGTCATCCATTTTGGCCAGAAATCTGACCAAGATGTCGGCCCGTACCTGACCTTGTTTTTCTTTGAGCCCTCAGCGGTGAAAACTTGGGCAGGGAACCAGACTAGGATAACAACACATGTTAAAAACGCAAAGGCTCATGGGTAGAAGCTTGTTTGTAAACAATGACACGCTATGGCAATCTGACGCATGCGCAGGTGCCGACTCCCCCCCCCCCCCGCTTTAAGTTTAATAATAATAAGGAATAAGCGTAAAGATATGGGCACTACTGATCCACTGGCGATTTGTAAACATCGTACGCATTCCAGACTTAATATAAAGTTTGAGTACTGCCGTTTAAGTACGCGGTTACATGTTTTTGATAACATTTAGTCTGTTGGGGTGCCAGTGCTTCGTGCAATAGAGATAGAAAAATGTTCAATATTTTTATATAGTCTGTTCTTATAGCCGTTTTGCGGAACATCTGGCTATGACCTTTCCGGTGAGTTTGTCACCGAACATCAAGTACGCAACGTGGGTGGTACATATATTTACATGTTGCCACGTTGATCTTATGATACTCGCTCTTTACCTTTACTTTTAATGAAGAACCATTTAACAACACTTTCCTTGTAGTCAGTCATTTACCCATAGTGTGGTTCTCGTAGTTTATTTAACATCGTAGTGAGTTTTATTTCTGCTCAGGGATTGGTAGGGGATCGTAACCCCTTGTGCTGAGAACCAGAGAGTCTGGCCTGCCTGCAGGAACCTTTGTTTAACGTTCACGTTTTTTTAGTTAGTTAAGTTGCGTTGTTGTTTTTGTCCGACTGCGATTGAAAAATCACTTTAAGTTAAAGGATATTAAATTAATGCAAATAAGATGAATTCTTTCAGTCAAGCATAGCCATGCGTCTCTTACCCCCATATTTGATATTTTAAAAATCTGTTATTTTAGACATTTGCAGAGAGCTACTGCTTCTTCATAGCTTCTCGGTTTGACTAACATGACTAAACAAGAACAGACTTCCCTTACTGTTTACTCGGGTCAGATGCACCATCAGATACAGCAAAGTAAACATCCCTTATTTATTAAACAGTCCATAGTTCCAGATCAAACGACAACATTAACTTCCTTCTTAAACAATGCATGACAAAACTAATAAATAAGTTGTGTTTTTTTTAGTAATTGTTTTTAGTTTATTAATTATTTGTCCGAATGGTAATCGAATATTTGTCTATTGTTTGTCTATCAGTTGATTTTATTTAAATTTATAATTATATTTATTATTCGGCTAATGGCCAATGTTCGCAAATAAATAATGTATATGTACAACATAATTAATTACTATAAGTCATTGACTGACAGTAAAAAACTATGATGATATTAATCATCAGTTGGTCTCCTTGTTTAACATCATGATAACTGAATAATGCATCAGCTACAATATATATACAGTTGGGTGATGGCGCTACAAGAATTTCCTCAGATTAGCTCCCAATTCTTAGATGTCATCGCCCCAGTCAACAAATGCATTCGAAGAAAACCATTTCCTCGCACGGAAGAAGCCATCGCGTTACTAGATGAAATAGATCGATCGATTGTTATTATGCTAAAAAGTTACCCCTCCCCCAAATAAACGTGACACGCATCTTATCAAGGAAAAACAGCTTTGCTAGTCTTTTTTCTTAGAGGTCTGCCCTTTACCGGGCAGTGGCCATATACCTTAGAGAATGGAGATAAGAAATTTGCATAAATTGAGCTAATTGATAGTAATCGCCAGAGGACGCATCTTTCAAACTTTATGTTTACGTTCCACGTCTACAAAAATTACAGTGTAAATAATGTGTTAAAATGAACAGGTTAATGTAAATTCACTGGTGCACACCGTCTTTTGAGCTACAGGAATGTGTTCATTTCAAATTCAGATTCAGATTCCACAAAACGAGCGACAAAATCCGCTGTTTGGCCACGACGCACTCATACCACCTCAAATGGCATTTAGCAAGTATTACTATGAAAATTATATTCGTGTGGACAATTTAAGACTAAGAATTTAAAAGATATATATTTGAGTAACTGGTCATCAGAATCGGGTTATCAAGTTTGCTGTTTTATCTACTGTCGAACACAATTCACTTTTGAAAATCTAATTATATTTTAATTACTCAAAGTAGCATCGTACAGCACAAATGCTGATTCCCATTGTAAATAATAATATCATAAAACTATCTATTTCAGATCTTTACGAAGTAATGGCAACAAGTCAGAATTACAACGAGCTGGTGTGGGCGTGGGAGGGATGGCGAGATGTGTGCGGACCACCGATGAAACCCATGTATCCCAGATATGTGGAACTAGCCAATGAAGCCGCACTTTTGAATGGTATAACTTTCACTTCGTTCTTATGTATTTAATGCCCTCGACTGGGACAATATATACCCGGATATTTGTATTGCTGTGTAAAAAAGGGGTCCTAAAATGAATGTGTCATTATGTATTTAATGACCCCAACTGAGACAATATATACCTGGGTATTTGCATCACTGTGTAAAAAAGCGATTCTATAATGAATGCGTCAACGTTCAGTCAGAAAATTCAGATTATGATTAATATTGTGTTTTTCGCCAAACTAATATCGGGACAAGTTCCAGTAATCTCAGTCGTCCTAAATTAATGTAAAGTTGTTATTTCTTTCACACGCTTAACAAAATGTATCAGCCGACGTACAGTACGAGTCGAGGGTCATGGCAGTGCGAAATAAAAACAGTCTGTGGATGCACACAATTTGCAATTCGTTTAATCGTATGTGCCACTTTTTTCAGACCAACCTGACATGGGAGCTTACTGGCGATCCTGGTACGAGATGGACAATTTTGAAGAAGAGGTGTTAAGACTGTGGCGGGAGGTGAAGCCATTCTATCAACAGTTACACGCTTACGTAAGACGCAAGCTTAGCAAAGTATATGGGGAAGATTACGTCAGTCTGTATGGTGCACTGCCTGCACATGTGTTAGGTAAGGATTACGTCAGTATGTATGGTACAATGTCTGTATGTATTAGGTAAGGATTACGTCAGACTGTATATGTATTACAGGCCCGTAGTTTGGGGAGGTTCGGGGGGTTCGGTCGAACCCCCTAAATTTTGGAAGTGAATAGATTTATGATCGTAGATTAGAACATAATAAACAAACAGTAATAATTAAAATAATTACCATCGTTTAAATCATTGAGGTAACTATCAGATTCAGCAGCTGATGTTAAATATTAAAACAACATTGAAAAAATAATGTAATGGTAGTCATTCTCTGAATGATGTGGTGGTCCTGAATAGGGCAGTTTGTCTTGTGCGAGTGTTCGCTCAGTTAGTAAAGTGCCACGGTGGGGATCGAACGGGATTGACACAACACACTGTACTTTCCTAGTTTGGTTCATTAATTTTGTATTTTTAAATGATGGCATATATACTGTTTTGTTGCAAGTGTATCAGCCAAATGTAGTCAACGTATTGTATTAGTACGTGTAGCCTGTGTTATTGGACAATAGTGTATAGCTACGGATTCAACAGATCATTGAAAAAATGCCGAAGATTTATCATCACGAGTTGTATAGGTCGAAG